TGATTTCAAACTTTGAACATCTAGAACTATGAGAAAATGAGTTCCTGTTGCTTTAAGCCACCCAGTTTGTGGTAACTGTTATGTCATCCCTTGCAAACTAGTACAGGTGACTTCTAAGGTAAGGGAAGCCCCAAATTATGGCTTCTCATCAGGTATTAGTTCCTTATATGGAGAAGCAGCTAACCACTCATGGGTCACAATTGGCTTTTCATATTTATGAGATTTACAGAGGAACAATTCTAGAAAGTAAACAGAAGATCAAGTCAACATGCAGAAAAGGAAGGAACTTTGATAATTCTTTACCCACAAACATAAAAGGAAGTATTTGCTAATTTAAACAGACTGCTGTCATCCTCTTTTGCACTTAGAGGAGTTAAATCCTCACTATTACTATGGGTTTTGGTATTATTTTTCTGTGGCAATATTATGTACTAATCCCCAAATTCAGTAGCTTCAGGGACAAATATGTCTTTTACTCACACACAGGTTGTAGATTGGCTGGATACGATGTGATATGATAGCCGTGGCTCTGGCTGAAGATTAGCTTCAGGGGTGCTGCACATGTCTTCTCAGATTTCAGAGATATGTGGCCAACTGGAGCATGATCTGCTCATGGCTGATGGATGGATGTAGTGCAAGAAACTAAGCCAAACCAAACCAATCCATTTAAAGCCTTGACTTGTATCATGTCTACTAACATTCCACTAATCAAGCCCTACATCAGTGGGATGAGGAAACATACTTGGCCTGCTCTAGAAACAAGTACTGCTACATCACATGGCAAAGGACATGGATATATACTTATTACAGGGAAGAGGTGAAGAATTGGGAACAATAAACTGGTCCTCCTTGATAACCCTCTTTCAGTTGTGAAAGGTGAATGCTACCTCCTATTTCCTCTGACTTTGTCTCAAACAAAATCCATAAAGAATAACTAGAAAAAAAGAGAATCTTTGTCTGAGAATATAAGAAGAATTTGGTGGTTTGATGGGGGATGGAAGAGGGAATTTTGAGGGGGTTAAGAAAAGGCTATGACAAAGATAATCAAAGACAGAGAAAGGGAAAGAATAGAATATGGTGGAAGTGATGTGGCAAGATATCCAAGTCTAGGAGAACAGAAGCAGTATAGCTTATTCTGTCTGGTTCTGTCTCTTGGGATATTCACTTTTAAGCCATCACATAAGATATCTACTTTGAAGCCACCACCTAGATCATCTAGAGAGACCATCTAGAAAAACTGTATGGAGACCTAGATACTGGTGGAGCCCTCAGCTCTTTGGATCTTTGTAGTTCAGATACCAGTCATGTAAGTGATGAGACCTTCGACTGCAACTGCATGAAAGATTCTGAGTGGAAACCACCTAGCTGAGCAGTATTCCCTGGAATAAACCTCATTTGCCATGGTATAGAATTCTTTGTATGTATTGCTGAATTCTTGCTAATTTTGTGTTAAAGATTTTTGTATCTATATTTATGAGGAAATTCCGCCTGCAGTATTCTTTATATACTGTCTTTGGTTTTAGTATCAGGGCTCGATATGGACTAAACTGTGTCCCCCCAAATTTATATGTTGGGGCCCTAACCCCCCATGTAACTATATTGGATACAGGAAATTTAAGGTGGTAATTAAGGTTGAATGAGATCATAAGGGTACAGTCTTAATTTGCTAGAGCTGATGCTCTTACAAGAAGAGGTAGAGACACCAGAGTTATCTCTATCATGTGATATTGTGAGAAGGTAGTTGTCTGCAAGCCAGGAAGAGAGCTCTCACCAGAACTTGACCAAGATCAAGTGATCAGCATGTTTTATAGACACTTGAAAGTAATGTGATTTATTTGTTGTTGGGTGGGTATTCTATAATTGTTAGTTAGAACCTGATGGTTGATGATGTTGAGTTTGTCTATATCCTTACTGCATTTTTCTTTTTTTTGTCTACTTGTTCTATCAATTGTTGAGAGAGGGATGGTGAAGTATCCAAGTGTAATTATTAATTGTCTTTTTTGCCTTTCAGTTCTATCAGTTTTTGGGTTATGTATTTTGCAGCTCTCTTGTTTGGTGCACACATTTAGGATTGCTGTGTCTTGATATATTGACATTCTCATTATTGTGTAATGTCCCTCTTTGACTTTGGTAATTTTATTTGCTCTGAAGTGTCCTCTGTCTGATATTAATATAACCACTCCTGCCTTCATTTGATAAGTATTTGCATGGAAGTCTTTTCCTATCCTTTTACTTTCAAACTGCCTATATTGCTGTATTCAAAGTGAGTGCTTATAGATATCATATAATTGGGTGATGTTTTAAAATCCATTTTATCAGTATTTAAATTGGTGTTTTCATATTTAATGTAATTTTTGATGTTTTAGGGTTTAAGTGTGCTATTTTACATTTTGTTTTCTGCTTGTTTTTCATTTCCATGTTTTCTTTTTCCTGTCTTCATGTGGGTTACTTGAATTTTTTTTAATAACTCAATTTTTATTTATCTATAATGCTTTTGAGTGTATCTTTTTATATCTTTTTAGTGGTTGCTCTAGGTATCATTTCCTATGTTTATTTATTTATTTATTTTTTTAATTTTTTTTTAAATTTTTTTTTTTCAACGTTTATTTATTTTTGGGATAGAGAGAGACAGAGCATGAACGGGGGAGGGGCAGAGAGAGAGGGAGACACAGAATGGGAAACAGGCTCCAGGCTCTGAGCCATCAGCCCAGAGCCTGATGCGGGGCTCGAACTCACGGACCGCGAGATTGTGACCTGGCTGAAGTCGGACGCTTAACCGACTGCGCCACCCAGGCGCCCCTCATTTCCTATGTTTAGAGAACTTCCTTTGGTCATTCTTTTAGGATAGATAAACTGGTGACAAATTCTTTTAGTTTTCCTTCATTTGAGAATATCTTTATTTCCCCTTCATTCCTAAAGGTTATTTTCACTGGATGTAGGATTCTGTGTATTGATAATACTTTTCTTTCAGCACTTGAAAAATATTGTGCTACTTCCTCTAGCCTCCATGGTTTGTAATGAGAAATTTACTGTCATTTGAATTGTTCTTTACCCTGGGTAATGTGTTGTTTCTCTCTTGATGCTTTCAAATTTTTCTTTCTCTTCAATTACCAGAAATTTGAATATGACATGTATTGGTATGGATTTCTTTGAATTTATCCTATTTAGAATTTATTCATCTTCTTGAATTTGTAAATTGTATTGTTTGCCAAACTTAAGAAGTTTTCAGCCTTTGTTTCTTCCAAGTCCTTTTCCAGTCCCACTCTGTTTCTCCTCTTTTTCAGACTCCAATGACACAAATGTTAGCTCTTTTGTTACAGTTCCACAGGTCCATGAGGTTATATCTTTTTTTTTCAGTCCATTTTCTTTCAGGGTAATTTCTATTCTATCTTGTTAAATTTTTAAAAATGTTTATTTATTTTTGAGAGAGAGAGAGAGAAAGAGTGAACAGAGGAGGAGCAGAGAGATAGGGAGACACAGAATCAGAAGCAGGCTCTAGGCTCCAAGCTGTCAGCACAGAGCCTGACACGGGGCTTGAACTCACGAACTGCAAGATCATTACCTGAGCCGAAGTTGGACACTTAACTGAGTGAGCCACCCAGGCGCCTCTCTATTATTCTATCTTGAGTTCATTGATTTGTTCCTTTATCTTCTGCATGCTGCTGTTCAGTACATCCCTTGAATTTTTTAAGAAATTTAGTTATGATATTTTTCAGTTCCAAAATTTTCATTTGGAATTTTCATTCTAATTTATGCCTGTTATTTCTTGACTGGAATTTCTTTCTTTTTTTAAAAATTTTTTAATGTGGGGGCGCCTGGGTGGCGCAGTCGGTTAAGCGTCCGACTTCAGCCAGGTCACGATCTCGCGGTCCGCGAGTTCGAGCCCCGCGTCGGGCTCTGGGCTGATGGCTCAGAGCCTGGAGCCTGTTTCCGATTCTGTGTCTCCCTCTCTCTCTCTGCCCCTCCCCCGTTCATGCTCTGTCTCTCTCTGTCCCAAAAATAAATAAATGTTGAAAAAAAAATTAAAAAAAAAATTTTAATGTGTATTTATTTTTGAAGGAGAGAAAGACAGAGTGTGAATGGGGGAGAGGCAGAGAGAGAGAGAGTGAGACACAGAATCAGAAGCAGGCTCCAGGCTCTGAGCTGTCAGCACAGAGCCCGACGCGGGGCTGGAACTCACAAACCGTAAGATCATGACCTGAGCTGAAGTCAGACACTCAACCAACTGAGCCACCCAGGTGCCCCTCTTGACTGGAATTTCTATTTTTAAATTTGTTTCAAGCATGTTTGTAATTGCTTATTGAAGCATTTTTGTGATGGCTGCTTCACACTCTGTCAAGTAATTCTAATATCTTGATGTACATTAATTGTCTTCTTATATTTAAGTTGAGCTCTTTCTTGTTCTTGGTATGACAAATTATTACCAACTGAAACCTGGGCATTTAGCTCTTATTTAAACTTTGGGTTTTATCTGGTGTTCTTTGACACTGTTCTGGCAGAGTAAGAGAGAGCTTCATCTTATTGCCACAGATGGATTTCCCACTTGAGCTTTCAACTCTACCTTAGTAACATAATGCAGTTGGGAGTAACTGAAGTTGGTATGTTACTACCTTAGTAACATAATGCAATTTACTTTGTAAATTCTGGGAGGATTATATGTACCCTATCTTTGAAGATTTTCATGGAGGATAATGGACATTTGGGAGTCCATGTTATTATATTTGTGTATGTAATGAAAGGGTAGCTATGATTTTTATATTATAATTTTCTTTTTTTTTTTAACAATGCCCAATTAGTAGCCATAGGGATCCTAGAGGGACATTGACCTCTAAATAGCTTTGTTCTGTCTTCTAACGAGGCCTAGCATGTCTGGGGCCCGCCCCCTGGCCCTGGTTGATCCTGATTGGTGTTAAGAGAGTCCATTGCTAAAAATATGATGGTGAAAATTAAATTCACTTTCATCTCGGCTTCCAATGACATGTGTGTTCTTCTCAACCTAGAGAGGTCAGGAAGCGGAAATGCATTTTACCTGCCCTGGAATTCATTTAAGAAGAATACCGTGTTCAAGAGACCAGTTTGAGTGAGGAGGCTAATGTCTTCCACCATGCCCCAGAGCATTTGCCCAGCAAGCAGGGTCTCCTGCTGGTGGTGGCTGATGTAGGAGCAGAATGCGAGTTTGGGGAACCTGGGGCCTGCAAGGAAGGTATGAAAGCTTTTTGGAATTCCAAATGAACTCATTCCCAGATTCCAGTAGAACACTGAGGACTATATGTATGTGCTCTCCTTTCTTTCCCAGGATTTCATCAGGCAAGATTGCCATGGAGCTTTCCCTTTGGTTTACTCCAGTTTTGGTAAGTTCTGATTTTGTATGAAGAAGCATACTTAGTCAACGTGATGCACATTTTGGACTTTTCTCTAGGACAAATTAGGGTCATTTCAAATGCTAATGTTTCTCTTTCTCTCTTTCTTTCTCTCTCTCTCTCTCTCTCTCTCTCTCACACACACACACACACACACACACACACACACACACTTCTAAGTTCCTAGACCAGTATTTTTGTTTGAAGGAGAGGGAGACCAAGTTCTGCTTACTGTGAGTTGCATCTGGGTAAGTTCATGGCCTTAGTGTGATTGAGTTATTTTGCCATTAAATTTATTGTAAATTGAAGCAGAATCCATTCCTCTTCAAGCTGATTTACTATACTTAAAATAATAGGTTTTGGCTAAATCAGAACTAGTTCAGAAATCTGAGATGAACACTAGTTGACCAGAACGACAAAGCCTCACATAGAGAAGTTTATGGATTTAAAGGGTAATGGAGTATTTTATTTAGGTAGACAGTAGAAGAGACAATGAATCAGAAAATAATTGCCAGAGTCAAGGCATGTAATTTCTCTTTCTGTCCTCAGGCTAGTATCTCTAAAAGTATGTACTAAAAGGGTCAGAAGATAGAGATTGTCCCTTAGACTGACCACTTAGCACAGGAGGAAGGGAAAACTCTCCTTTCTTACTGGTCTCAAGCTCTGTAGGAAAATGACCTGGCTTCTATCTCCCACAGTATAATTAAAGTCCATCTGATACTCTAGTACTCTCACTTTAGAGGGCTGCATCTGGGACCATAGGGAGTTTTCCTATAAGTAATGTTATGACATCAAATATGGGTAAAAAATCCTAAGGACATCATGGGGGAATAATTTTTTGTGGGATGACCTACTCATGACTGTAAGTTTTTTTTTTCCCCTAAGGCTACAGTTTTCCTTTTGCAATATTCACCCTTTGATGATATTGATGATATCAGTGGTATCTTACCAATAATATGTTGCATGATCAGATATAAAAGTAAAAGAAGGGTTTTTTTTCCTGCTTGGCAATAGAGTACAGAAAAAATGGCTAACACTCTTAAAATTACATTATCCTTTATGAAAACTTGTAACCATGTGCACAGTTCTTTTTTTTATCATTTAACATAAATATATTCAAGATAAAATAATTTATTTTTACTTAATAAAGTATAAAAACTAGACATAAAATATAATATTTAAAATAATTAAAAAATCCAGTCACCACGCTTACACTATTTTATTTTTTATTAGTTTTTTCCCATTTCTTAAATTTGAAAAAAATTATAGTTGACACACAATGTTACATTAATTTCAGGTATACAATATAGTGATTCAACAACTCTATATGTTATGCTATGTTTACCACAAGTGTAACTACCATCTGTCATCATACAACACTATCGCAATATCATTGACTGTATTCCCTATGTTATACCTTTCATCCCTGTGACTTATTCATTCCATAACTGGAAACCTGTATCTCCCACTCCCCTTCATCCATTTGATGACACTGTTTTATATGTTTCACAAAGTTCCTAATTCTTCAGTCATGATATTCTACAAAATAGCTCAGAGAGTTGAAGAAATGGAAAAGTCAGTGATAGGGGATACACGAAACTGGACAGAAGTTCAGGAATTCACTCTGGAGGGCTTTCCTGCTGTCCAGAACCTTGGAAAGGTTCTCTTCCTGGTACATCTGCTGGCATACCTGGCCTCCATCATGGGAAATACACTCATAATCACCATTACCTGGACTGACCATCGCCTCCAGACACCCATGTACTTCTTCCTCCGCAGTTTCTCCTTTTTTGAATGCTGTTTTGTAACCACTGTTATTCCTAAATTGTTGGCCATCTTTCTGTCAGGGAGGCAATCAATTTCTTTTGTGGCTTGCTTCACACAAGCCTTTGTCTTTCTTTTCCTGGGAACAACTGTTTTCTTCCTTATGGCGGTATTATCCCTAGATAGGTACCTGGCCATTTGCAAACCTCTGTATTACTCAACCATCATGAACCCAAGGATGTGTTTCCTTCTGGTCACTGCCTGCTTATCTTTGGGATTTGTCCTCATGGTGGTTCCGATTATAATGCTTTCCCAGTCATCCTTCTGTGGCTCCCATGTCATCCCTCACTTCTTTTGTGATTTTGGGCCACTGATTCATCTCTCTTGTTCTGACACCAGATCTACTGAAATGTTGGCCTTTATCCTTGCTTTGTTTATCCTTTTGACATCCCTTATCATAACCATCATTGCATACAGCAACATAGTAGTCACAGTTGTGCGACTTCCGTCAGCCAAGGAGCGACAGAAAGCTTTCTCCACCTGCTCCTCTCACCTCATTGTCCTCTCTCTGATGTATGGCAGCTGTGTCTTTATATACGTGAAACCAAAGCAAACAAACAGGCTGGACTCTAACAGGGAGGCTGCCCTTGTGAACACGGTGGTGACTCCGCTGCTGAACCCTGTCATCTACACTCTGCGGAACAAGCAGGTCCATCAGGCTCTGAGGGATGCTCTGTCCAGGGTTAGATTGCAGAAATAGAACCATAGACTGTCAGAGGGAGAATGCCTCTTCTCCATCTAATGCAATCTCTATCCTATTTCTGGAATCTCTTACATAGTCTTGCAACTGTGTTTTTAAAGTTTCTGCTTGTTTATTCTTAGAATAAGGGCCAATTTATCTTATAATCCAATGTACTCCACTACTTGAAAGCTCTAACATTCTTGTTCATATCGAAATGAAATTATCTTCCTGTTCTGTGATCTTCTGTTCATGAGTTTTAACTCGATAGGATTCAACAAATTTTAATGAGGAGTCTCATATCCATGATTCTGTTTGATGCATGTGAAATCTCAAAGTTGAGAAGGTGTGGTTTCATGTATCTACTTGTGGTAAGTACATAGGGATGGAAAATGAAATTCACAAGAATTAAGAATATCAAGTTGGTTCAAGGATAGATGTAACATGGTCACTATATTGATTTTTGAAGGACACATGTACATAACTGTCATGGTATTAATAGCATTACTTGAAATGACTCAATGCAATTGTTTTCAATTGTGCATTGTCTGTATATAAATAGAATATAAATCTTTACAATTCTAGTTTACGCTATAATGAAGACATATAAATGTCTCTAATTGAAATTGGAAGTTTCCTTTGGTTATGCTCATCTGCTAGTACTGATTTCAGTACTAAAGGCCCGATGATGGAGTACCAGAGAGAGAGAAGCATTATGATTTCTGGAACAAGGAATTGAGTGGTTAAGATTGTTTCCCCACTACAGAAAAGGAATTGGGGGGAATCTAATCAAAGGTGGAAAGGAGTCTGATTGTGACTGTAGAGTCTTTCTAAGTAAATCTATAAGCAAGTATCTTTATTTGTGAAATGAGAGCTTTGATGTGATAATCTCTGGGTGTCCATTATTAGTACGAGTGTGAAATGACACTACTGATACCAAACATGACACAAAGACACACTGTAATAGAAATACAATTTGAGCGTAGAAAAGAGAAAATGATGAGATGTTTTTGTTTGTTTTAATTTTTTTTAGTGTTAAGTTCACGCATGACATCTTTAATGTGTTTGTTGGCCATGTGTGTGTCTTCTTTGGGAAAATGTCAGTTCAGGTCCTCTGCCCATTTTAAAATCAGGTTATTTTTTGGGCTTTTTTGGGTGTTAAGTTTTTAAATATATTTTGGATATTAGCCCCTCATTGGATATGTCATATGCAAATATCTTCTCTCATTCAGTAGGTTACCTTTTGGTTTTGTTGATGGTTTCCTATGCTGTGCAAGTGATGAGATATTTTAATGAAGAATTACAACTATAATTTAGTTATTCAAGATTTTGGTAGGAAAAGATAGATTTGGACACAAGACAGTAAGAAAAGTCCTGGAGCTGGTGTTTGCTTGGCATAGTTGGCTATCATGCTTTGCTCTGACCACATTATTCTGTGGTTTCAGGCATAATAATTGACTGTGTTATGAAGATTTCTGGCATACAATTACGAATGAATTTGAAGAATAGACTACTCAATTAACACAACACATTTTTGTTCACCCTATGCACATATAAAAATTTCCAAGTAATTTTTGGGTCGGCTTATCTCTTTTTATGACATTTGGTATATTCCCTTTGCTCAAAGCATCACATTGTCAATGATTTGCTCAAAGCATCACATTGTCAATGATTTTTCCCAGAATGGCCAATTAATGGTACAGTTATTGGCATAAAGGTCTCCCCATAGGAATGCACATGTCAGTGGAGGCTGGTGATGGCAGTTGGGCTGCAGCATGCAGCTTGGGGGCCTAGCTGAAGGTGAGCCCAGTGGTGCAAGCTAGTGACAGGAGTCAAGACCAAATCTGGGGCCACATGCAGCTAATTCAAAATATATAAAGAACTCATACAAATCAATGATTAAAAAAACACAACTCAAAATAATTGGCAAAGGACCTGAATACACATTTTTTCCAAAGAAGACATATAAATAGCCAATAGGTATATGAAAAGATGTTCAACATCATTAATCATCAGAGGAATACAAATCAAAATCACAATGAGATATTATCTCACACCTAAGCTAGGTTAGAATGGCTATCATAAAAAAGTGAAAGGAAAAGAAGTATTGGTGAGCATGTGGAGATAGGGGAACCTTTGTACACTGTTGATGAGAATTTAAACTGGTGCAATCACTGTGGAAAATAATATGGAGGTTCCTCAAGGATTAAAAATAGGAAGCTACCTAAGTGTCCATCCATAGATAAGTGGATAAAGAAGCTTTGGTGCATACACACACATACACACACACACACACACACACACACACACACACAATGGAGTAATACACAGGCACAAAAAATGAAATATTGCCATTTGCAACAATATGGATGATTTAGGGGATATTGTGCTAAGTGAAATGAGTCATTCAGAGAAAGACAGATACCATATAATTAACTTATATGTGGAATTTAAGAAATAAGTGAACAAAAAAGACAAACAAAAAACCAGACTCTTAAATAGAGAACAAACTGGTGATTGCTGGACAGGAGGTGGCAGGGCGAGGGGCAGGGGGGAATGGGTGAAATAAATGAAGGGAATTAAGAGTACACTTTCATCATGAGCACTGAGTTATGTATAGAATTGTTGAATCACTATATTGTACACCTGAAATGAATATAACACTGCATGATAATTATACTTGAATAAAAAATGGTTGAAAATTTAAAAAAATATAAGAAAACTACTGTATAATCCAATGATACTACTTCTGGATATATCTCCAAAGGAGTCGAAATGAAGATATTGAGGAGATATCTGCACTCCCATGTTCACTGCAGCGTTATTTATTATAGCCAAGTGTCCATTGATGTGTCCATTGATGGATGAATGAATAAAGAAAATGTGCACAGCTTTCTGTATGTTAATCATAATGGAATAAAGTGGCTTTAAAAAAGAAAATTGCACTTCTTTGATTCAAAATTTTACTGAATAGTTTTAATAGATGAGATGAGTAGAATATTAGACATGCCAGATGAAAAATTAGCATATTTGAAGATATAGAAACTTAAAAACACACACACAAAGAAAAAATAGTCCAACTAAAATGATAAGAGCAGCAGTGAAATATGGGACAAATTCAGGCAATCCAACGAGCATATAATTCGATTTCTGAAACAGAAGTTTATATGTGGAGAGGGATGACAAAAAAAGATTTAAGGACACGATGGCCAAAATTTCCCAAATTTTCTGAAAACAGAACCAAAGGTCTCAGCAAAACCCAATCACTAGAAACATGAAAAAATCCACACCAAAATGCATAATACATTGCTCAAAACCAGTGATAAAGAGAAAATCTTAAAAACAGCCAAAAGGAAAAATTACATGTTTCATACTGAGGAACAAAGATAAAGATGACATAAAATTCTCTTTGGAGAGACGTAAATGACAATGCAGTGATACAGGCACTTTTGAAGGACTGTGAATACAAATCTGCCAACCTAGAATTTGATACCTGTAAAACTGTCAAAAATGAAGGCTTACAAAAGATAAAAGGATTAATCACTAGCAAGCCTACAGAATAATAGCTAATAAAGTCAGTCCTTCCAAGAGAAAGAAAATTACACCAGATGAAAATATGCAGAGCTATGAAAAAGAATGAAGAGCACTGGAAATAGTAACTATATGGTGGGTATTTAAGGTATTTATTTTAATTATTTAAATGTCTGAAAGATAATAGACTCCACAAAAATAGTAACAATGCAGTGTGGAGTTCATAACATACGTGGAAGGAAAATATATGACAATAATATCATAAAAGCTGAGGGGGTAGAAATAGAAATATACTATTATAAGTTTCTCATATGTGAAGTGGTAAAACTATCACTTGGAGGTAGGTAATGATAAGTTAAAGATGTATACTGTAAACACTAAACCAACCACTGAAATAAAAGTAAAAAGTTATAGCTAAGAAGCCAACAGAAGAGATAAAATGGAATTATCACAATGGGGCAGTAGGAAACTTGGATTGATGTATATCTTCATTATATTCATTATGGTGGTGATTTCATCAGTATTTAAACATGTGAAAATGCCATGCCAAGTCCCTGGAAAAGGCTGGCTGGGCTGCTGAGCCTGCTGGGCCAGACAATAAGAGGCCAGCATGGAAACATATTAAGATGAAGAAACTAGCAGAGACATCAGCTAAAGTAGGTGACATCAGCTAAAGTAGGTAACTTCAGCCCTAGGAAGATCAGCCCTTAAAAAATGTGAGAGGTATCTAAACAGTTACTGGCTGATGAAAGTCAGAGCCAGACAGCCAACCAGAGAAAGGTGTAGCTGTAAACTTAAGTACTGAGCATCTTAAAGCACAGTCCAAGCAGACAGCATACTGGGATGGTGTTTCAAAACTACCAGGACAGGCCTGGAACTTCCTTCAAGCCATGAAGCTGGGGGGGAGAAACCTTCTACCATAGCAACTGCAAAGAGCCAGATATCACAGAATTTGTGAAGCTTATGAAGAAGGCTTACCCAGACCACACACAGTTTGAGAAAAACAATCCCCATTATGACCCATCCAGAAAAGAAGACAATCCCAAATGATCCAGGGTAGATGTACAATTTGTTCCAGCGATAAAGCATTTCATTACCCTGACTGAACTCAAAACCCATCACGAAGCCATTAAAACAATATGGCTCTCTTAGGCAAACCATAAAAGAGACTCTTAACTACAGAGAACAAACTGAGGGTTGTTATAGGTGGGGAATGGGCTAAATGGGTGATGGAGATTAAGGAGAGCACTGTTGTGATGAGCACTGGGTGTTGTATGTATGCGATGAATCACTAATTTCTACTCCTGAAACTAATATTACACTATATGTTAACTAACTGGAATTTGAATAAAAACCCAAAACATTAAAAAAATAACATGCCAAAATGTATCAAATTATACACTTTATGTCCATTTATATCAATGATCACTTAAAGCTGTTTAAAAGATAATAGAGCTGATTGTAATGCAATATTAAAAATGCATGGTGAATTCAAAAGAAAATAGGAAAGAAGAATATGCAATATATAGCAGGGGACAAATAAAAGGAAACATCAAGATGGTAGTTAGGGCACCTGGGTGGCTCAGCCAGTTAAGTGACTGATTCTTGATTTTGTCTCAGGTCATGATCCCATGGTCATGAGATCAAGCCCTGCATCAGGCTCAATGCTGGGTGTGGAGCCTGCTTAAGATTCTGTCTCTCCCTCTCCCTCTCCCTCTACCCCTCTCCTCTCTCTCTCTCTCTCTCTCTCTCAAAAATAAAAAGATGGTAGAGTTATATCTAACCTTATAATAATGACATTACATGTAAATGGACTAAGCACTCCAATTAAAAAAGGGGACAGAGAGAGAGAGAGAGAGAGAGAGAGAGAGAGAGAACTACATTGGGTAAAAAGGAAGACCTTACCATGTGCTGGTTATAAGAATAACGTTTAAATATATACAGTAAGAAATTCCAAGAAACATCAAGCAAAAGAAAGCTTGTGTGACCATAGTAATATATATTAAAAAAATAGACTTCACAGTGTATTTTCAGAGATTAAGAGGTAAATTTATAATGATAAAGAAATGAAATCACCAGGAAGACATAATTTTATATGTATATTCACATAATGATAGAGCTTAAAATTCATGAAAGAAAAGTTGGAAGTACTAAAGTAAAAAGATCCACAAATATAGAGGTTTTAACATCATTATTTCAGTAATTAATACAACAAACAGACAAAAAAATCAGTACACAGAGATTTGCATGACTATCAACTAAGTGCACTTAATTGATAATTGTAGATTGTTATATTTAGCACCTGAAGATACACATTATTTTCATGTGTACATGGAAATTGCACTACTAGGTATTTACCCAAATGATACAAAAATATTTATCCAAAGGGATACATGCACCCTGATGTTTATAGTATCATTATCAACAGTGGCCAAATTATGGAAAAAGCCCACATGTCCATAGACTGATGAACAGATAAAGAAGATACGGTATATATATACAGTGGAATATTAGCCGTAAAAAAGAATGAAACCTTGCCATTTGCAGTTATGTGGATGAAGCCAGTGTGTATTATGCTAAGTGAAATATGTCAGTTAGAGAAAGACAAATATCATATGATCTCACTCATATGTGGAATTAAGAAACAAAACAGATGAATATATGGAGAGAGAAAAAAGAGAGGCAAACCATAAGAATGACTCTTAATTATAGAGATCAAACTGAGGGTTGCTGGAGGGGAGGTGGACAGGGGATGGGCTAAATGGGTGATGGTATTAAGGAGGGCACTGTTTTATAGTTTGATTTGAACAGCGGTTACATGGCTATTTATATGCTTAGAAAATTATCAACCTGTACAATTAAAATTTGTTCATTTTACAGAATGTAAATTATACCTCATTCAATAAAATACCAAGTTAAAAAGGGAAACAAGCAAAGACAATTGTAAAAATTTAAGCTTGTCTTTCTTGACATATGTAATTCGGGATTTTGTAAATTTTACCACTCTAGACCACTCGTGGAAAATATACCTTTGAAGACTTGTACAAAGAATTGTGTGGGCTATTGGTAATGACAGTTGTATGTTACCATATGCAGTGAAATGGCAATTATGTTATATTTCTGCTGAAATTTCTCATTTCCAAATATGGACAATTAAATGTCCTCTGGGACTCTTATGATTTTAGTTCCTGCTTCCTTTTTTTATACTCCTCTAAATGAATTCTCAGTGTTCCAGAGGTTTGTCCTTTTGGACCCTGTGTGTCTCATTGGGGATGGTAAATAATCCTGTAGTAAATATATCATCAGGGCATTTGAATGTATTCTCATTTATGACTGCAATGATCCTCAGCTACTCTGAAAGGTGGGGAGCAACTGGTTGATGGGAAAGTGACTAACAAGTCCAAAGGAAAGTGACATTTGTTGTCTCTTCTTCCTGACTTTCTTGTGGTATGGATGCATAACTGACCAAATTTGATGTTTATGATGGACTGGGTCATCGTATGCCATAGACTGGATATAAATATGTTCAGGAATTTTAAATGGTTGCATCAGCAAATTCTGGTGCATATTTGTGATACTTTCTATTGTCTTGATCTAGGATTTATCAGTCCAGTTGCTATAGGGGAAAACTATGACTGTCAATCCTCCAGAGTTTAGAAATCTGTCTTCCATGAAAAAAAAATCAGCCTTAATCATTTCCTATTAATTTAAGACATAAGGCATTTATTGATTTCTTCAATAGTTCAAGGAAAAGTATGTCTCATTTAAGAGTGTTCTTCCCCACCCTGCGTTCCATTAGCCTAGGAGAAAATTCCTGGCTTGTCGGAAGAAAAGAGAAGCATATTGTCAAAGAAACTGTTTCCTGTAAGCTGCTTCTTGGTAAGTACTTGACTATGAGGATACTTGCAACCTAACAGGTCACATATTTAAAGCAGAGACTTGTTATGTTTAAGTTTGTATTGCGGGTCATGCATAGTTACTGTAATAGGTTTAGCTAAATCAAAGAATTAAGTAAAGTACAATTTAATTATGGTGACTTACTCACTAGAGCACTGATTTCCAATGGATGCCCAGATTCGTTCCCCAAAGATTACATATCAATTCATCTGGCTTCTAGGTACACACTGGCATTAACAAAACAAAGCAAAACAAAACAATGTTCCTCTAGTGATTGCAAAGGGGATACAGGTGTAATTCCATCACACCAAAATCTTCTGGTGTAACAAAAATATTCCCAGAAAACAATATTGAAGGGTAATTTATGACTAAGAGCAGAAGGAAGAATTTTTCTGTCAGGTGGGTAGAGTGAGAGGGAAACTGACTCACCCATTAAATGTTTATTCATTGATTCTGAACAACCAAGTCATGTAACCATGCCTCTAGCCCCCAACCTTTAGACATGGTTTCTCTTAAACCCAAAGACTGGGTAGTTATGAGATATTGTGATAAACTAGGTTTCCTCCTTACTCTTTTTTTGAATATGAAATTTATTGTCAAATTGGTTTCCATACCACACCCAGTGCTCATCCCAACAGGTGCCCTCCTCAGTGCCTATCACCCACTTTCCCCTCCCTCCCATCCCCCATCAACCCTCAGTTTATTCTCAGTTTTTAAGAGTCTCTTATGGTTTGCCTTCCACCCTCTCTAACTTTTTTTTCCCCTTCCTCTCCCCCATGGTCTTCTGTTAAGTTTCTCAGGATCCACATAAGAGTGAAAACATACGGTATCTGTCTTTCTCTGTAGGACTTATTTCACTTAGCATAACACTCTCTTGCTTTCTCTTAAGGTCTTGGGTATAGAACTCAGGCTGAACAAACTTCAGGTCAGGAAAATAACTGGTTTGGAACATGCTAATAGGAAAACGATCTCCTTGCCAATTTCATTTTCTTTTCGTTTCTTCTTTTCTTTTCTTTTCTTTTCTTTTCTTTTCTTTTCTTTTCTTTTCTTTTCTTTCTTTCTTTTTCTTGTATGTATGTATGTATGTATGTATGTATGTATGTATGTATGTATTTATAGAGTGTGCACAAGTGGGAGAGGGGCAGAGATAAAGAGAGACAGAATCCCAAGCAGGCTCCACACCATCAGTGCAGAACCTGATGTGGGGCTGGAACTTATGAACTGTGAGATCGTGAACTGAACCCAGATCAAGAATTGGATGCTAAACCGACTGAGCCACCCAGGGCCCCCCCCCCACAGTTTCTATTTCCAGAGGACTGAAGTCAGTACATAGGACAGCTTCATATATTGCATATTATACCTGAAGTATAGAAATTAAAACTGTGACCCCATAAAAATATCTTTGTGGGATGATAATCTTCATTGTTATCTGTTAGTTTTATACATTATGTGTAAACAATAATTTTCAATTTGCATTCTTTACCTTATGGACTTATTAAAAATATTTTCCGGGGAGCCTGGGTGGATCAGTCGGTTGAGCATCCGACTTCGGCTCAGGTCATGATCTCACAGTTTGAGTTCAAGCCCCACGTTGGGCTCTGTGCTGATAGCTCAGAGTCTGGATCCTGCTTCAGATTCTGTGTCTCCATCTCTCTTTGCCCTATCCCCACTCATGCTCTGTCTCTCTCTGTCTTAAAAATAAATAAAATATTAAAATATTTGCCAAAAAAGTAAAGTTGCACATTAAAATTTATTTTCAAAAATAAACAATAAGCCTTCAATTTTTACAATTTAATAATAGAAAAAGTTCAAAATCTTTTATAATACAGCATTTAAATGATACAAAATAAGCCCTCATTCAGAGTTGTAGCTGCAAGTAGTAGTTATTTTTTTAATAGTGGCCATGATTTAAATTTTTTATTCTTTGATGATAGGAATCACTTGATGATAGTGTTTTCTGTTTAACAGATCCAACAGAGTTGATGACAGAGAAATGGAGATAAACATGGAGGTGAGGAATGAGACAACAATCCAAGAATTCATTCTGGAAGGGTTTCCTGCCATCCAGTACCTGGGGAACATCTTCTTCCTGATGCATCTGCTGGCATATCTGGCCTCTATCACAGGAAATATGGTGATCATCATTATCACTTGGGCTGACCATCGCCTCCAGACACCAATGTATATTTTACTCAGCACTTTCTCCTTCTCTGAATGCTGTTTTATTACCACAGTTATTCCTAAACTGCTGTCCATCTTTCTTTCAGGAAGGCAAACAATTTCCTTTACTTCTTGTCTCACACAAGCCTTTTCTTTTCTGTTCTTTGGGTCAATAATTTTTTTCCTGATGGCTGTGATGTCCTTGGATCGATACCTGGCCATTTGCAAACCTCTGCACTACCCGGCCATCATGAACCTGAGGGTTAGTTTCCTTCTGGCTTTCTTCTGCAATGCTTTGTCCTTCATCTTGATCACTGGTCTGGTGCTCAAGGTTTCTCAGTTATCCTTCTGTGGCCCCAATGTCATCTCTCATTTCTTTTGTGACCTCGGCTCCCTGATTCATCTCTCTTGTTCTGACACTGGGTCTGTTGAAATATATGTCCTCTTCCTTGCTCTGCTTGTCATTCTGATATCTCTCATTTTAACCATCATTGCATACAGCAATATAGTGGTCACAATTGTGCGACTTCCATCAGCCAAGGAGCGACAGAAAGCTTTCTCCACCTGCTCCTCTCACCTCATCGTCCTCTCTCTGATGTACGGCAGCTGTGTCTTTATATACGTGAAACCAAAGCAAACAAACAGGCTGGACTCCAACAGGGAGGCTGCCCTTGTGAACACAGTGGTGACCCCACTGTTGAACCCTGTCATCTACACTCTGCGGAACAAGCAGGTCCACCAGGCTCTGAGGGATGCTCTGTCCAGGGTGAGGTTGCAGAAACAGAGCTTTGGAGGGTAAGTGGATCTTCTTGGTCTTCTAGTTCAATTTCCCATTATTGCAGAAATCTTTCCTATAGAATCTCTACATATAGTGATCTAGCATATGCTAATTTCATCTAGATGGGTACTATCTTACTTTGCAATGCAATACTTTTCACTATTTGAAAATTCATCTTAGTTCTCTATATTATGCTGAAGGATATCTTGATTTTCTACTCAGTGGTCTTTTATGAATTCAATTCAAACAACTAGGTTCTCTGTGGAGAACCTAGTATACATAAATCATATAATTTTTTTAAGCTAAGAATTTAAAAAGTTGTCAATAAAATAATAATAATAATAATTGCTGGTACATTCTTATGCTTGAGTTTTCTGATACCTAAGAAAACATAGAAAACATTACCATTTTATGTATTCATGGTTTGAAATTTTAGAAACAAATTGTTCCTGAAAATTACATAAAGTCATATAATAGCCTAATGAAAATTAATGGTATTTCATTAATTGTATCTTTTATGTAAATGAACCAGCAGTAAGCTGGTTCTTTCTTTGGGTCAATTGGTTTTAGAGGCATAAGTAGCTTAGGGTAACCTAGAGGTGGTTAGGCACTTTGACATTGTCATCTTCTAGTGTATCAAATGTAACCAAAAAAATTGTCTTTAATTCTTTCTTGAAACATAAATAAAAGGCAAAACTTTTTAATTTGTTCAACTTTCCCCCTGTAATTGATATTGCCAAGCCTTGGTCCCAGTAGGTTACTGAAAAATAGGTGATCGCACTACCAGATTCTCTCCCCACATGTAAGAGATATTTTCTCCCAGTGTGATTTTAGGTGTGGGAGCTGCCACCATCTTTCAGGTTAAGCTAAATTATGGTCAACATTTTATGCAGCAAACTAACAGAACTGATAATTAGGAAAGTTTAAAAGGGAAATGAATGCATTGATAATTTAAAAATGGATTAAAATTGGGTCAGTTATTGTGTTTGTAGCTTCTTGGAGTAGGTGGCTCCCTCCCCACTGAAGACAATTGGCCCTAATGGGAAGTAGTACCTGTCACATCTGACACGACATGTACATGGTGTGCATTTGATTTTTACTGTGTCTGATTTGATTGTGTATATTCCTTTCCTGCTTGATTTGAGAATTCCTTATATTTAAGGCATATTCTGATTAGGAAGAACTTTAGACTATCAAAGAATGTTGAGTGATTTAGATTTTTATGTCTGGGAATGGTCTGATTATAAACTGTCCTGGGGGTTATGGTCTTCCAAGGACTGTTGTGTCTATGTCCCTCCTTTCTCCAAAGAAGAATATAATTTCTGAACCTAATCTAAAGGCAGGGAACTCCTGAGAATTCTCTGCTTTTGGTTTCTGTGCATTAGATAAAATAGCCACCTCTTCCAATTTTCATAGCCTGACCTCATGAACCAGACTAGTGTAGGAGATGAGCCTCTAGGTATTTTTGTAGATGCTATTTATTAAGTTGAGGTAGTTACCGTGTATTCCTAGCTTATTATGAGTTTATTTTTGTTTTTTATCATGAATGAGCAGGGAAGATACTCCTTGCTCGACTCAGATGAAGCCACTAGAAGAGGTATGTTTTTTCTGTTGGTATTTGGATGGAGTAGGGTTAGTATTGATAAAAATTCTGTTATTAGGGCATTCTTCTCCAAGTTTGGGTTAGGGGGAAAAGTTTTTTTTTTTTTTTTTAACTATTTAAAAGAATCTGTCGGTTCTGAGTTGGAGGCTTCTGAAGCACCCTGTCTGGGATATATGAAAGGCAATGAGGTATCTCAGTATGTGGATCCTGAGAAACTTAACAGAAGACTACGGAGGAGGGGACAGGGTAAAAGTTACAGAGAGGGAAGGAGGAAAACCATAAGAGACTCTTAAATACTGAGAACAAACTGAGGGTTGATGGAGGGTGGGGGAGAGGGGAAAGTGGGTGATGGTCATTGAGGAGGGCACCTGTTGGGATGAGCACTGGGTGTTGTATGGAAACCAATTTGACAATAAATTATATTTAATATAAAAAAATTTAAAAAAAAAGAAAGGCAATAAAGAAACCCAGGGAAATGACTGCCATATCATTCCTCAAGTCCCAAGGTCCCTAGGCCATCTACTATCTTCTTTCTATTTTTCAGAATCTTTCTATCATTCTTTGTTGTGTTATGTCCAGGGTATTCTAATTTAAAGAGGGAAGACCTGGGGGGGAAAGGGTTATTTCACCTCGGTGGAACAGAAAGTCCTTAATGAACTCCTTGAAACCAGTTATTTTAGAATGAAAAGTATTACTTTGTTAAAGATGTTTCTCATATGACAGCCCATGAAAATTGAAGGATTGATTCACAGAGGAAACTTCTTAGTATTAGTAGGTATACAATTTGCAGAGAAGGTGTCAATTTCAGGAGAAATAAACTAGGGAGTTGAAAAAAATTCAATGTTTTGGTTTGAGTTACTCCAGAAGCAGACCCAGAAGCAAGAATTTGAAGACAAGTAGTTTACTGGAGAGTTTATTCCATGAATGACCAGTAGGGAGGAGGGAAAGTGCTATAGTGAAAAGAATTTTGTATTACCAAGCCAGTTACCCTTCTGGGAAATTGGAGCCCAATCTCACTGTGGAATTCTGTGTAGCAGTATAATACATTCTTATGAATTATTCAAACCCAGAAGAAAAGAAGATGGGGTATGTATATAACAATTCTGCACCCATCATCCATTGAGGATTGCTTGTGGGAGTGTTCTTTCGCTAGCCCTTCTGGCTTGTCTTATGCACAGAAAAATGTGCTCCAGGGCCAAAAATAGTGCACTGACAGAGTTTGCAGGAATTTATAGTAAACAACCTATAGGCTGCCTGTCAAGTTGAATCCAAGGTAATATGGGTGAGGCCTAGCAGTGTCTTCTTCAATCCACCCTTTACACTAATTAGATTCACTTGCCCACCACCTTAAATTCACACTGTTAAAAAAGAATCAGTCAGAAATGAAGAATGCAAAACCTGAGATTGGAAACAGGCTTGATGCAATGAACAGTATGCTGGAAGAAACAGAGGAATGAGTTAGTGATATAGAAGACAAAATAATGGAAAATAAGCTGAACAAAATAGAAAAGTAAAAAATTATAGAATATGAGAATAGACTTAGGGAACTCAGCAACTTCATCAAACACAATAACATTCATATTATAGGAGTACCAGAAGAAGAAGAGAGAGAAAGGGGGGCAGAAAATTGAGGAAATAATAGCTGAATATCTCCCTAATCTGGGGAAAGAAACAGATATCCAAATCCAGGAGGCACGGAAAGTTCCCATCAAAATAAACAAAAGTAGGCCAACACCAAGATGTATTGTGGTTAAATTTGCAAAATACAGCAATAAAAAAAAAATCCTAAAAGCAGCAAGACAAAAGAAGTCCTTAACTTACAAGGGAAGACTCATAAGGCTAGCTGTAGATTTCTCAATAGAAACTTGGCAACTGGAAGGGAGTGGCATGATGTATTTATAGTACTGCATGGGAAAAATATGCAGTCAAGAATGCTTTATCCAGTAAGGCTATCATTCAGAATAGAAAGAGAGATGAAGAGTTTCTTAGACAAACAAAGACTAAAGGAGTTCGTGACCACTAAACCAGCCCTGCAAGGAATATTAAAGGGGACTCTTTGAGTGTAAAGAAACACCAAAAGTGACAAAGATGAGAAAGAATCTCCAACAGCAATGACAAATCAAGTAATAAAATGTCACTAAATACATATCTATCAATAATTACTCTGTATTGGACTAAATTCTCTAACCAAAAGACATAGGGAGCCAGAATGGATCAAAAAGCAAGACCCACCTATATGCTGCCTAGAAGAGACTCATTTTAGACTTAAAGGCACCTGCATATTGAAAGTGAGGGGATGGAGAACCATTTATCATGCATATAAATCAAAGGAAAGCCTGAGTAGCAATACTTATATCGACAAAATAGACTTTAAAACAAAGACTAGCAAGAGATGAAAAAGGGCACCATATCATAACAAAGGGGACAATCCAACAATGAGATATAAAAGTTGTAACTATTCATGCACCCAACATGGAGACACCCAAATATATAAAACAATAACAACCATAAAATAACTCATTGGTAATAATACAGTAATAGTAAGGGGCTTTAACACCACCCTTACATCAATGTACAGATCATCTAAACAGAAAATAAACAAGGAAAAAATGGCTCTGAATGATACACTGACCAGATGGACTTAGAAATATTCACAACATTCCATCCTACAACAGCAGAATACACATTCTTTTCGGTGCAAATGGGATAGTCTCCAGAATCCATCACATATTAGGTCACAAGTAAGGCCTCAACAAATACAAAGAGACTAGGTGCAAATGGGACATTCTCCAGAATAGATCACACAGTGGTAGCAAATCAGACTTCAACAAACACAAAAAGATTGAAATCATACCACGCATTTTTTTTCTGAGCACAATACTACAAAACTTGGAGTCAACCACAAGAAAAAGTTTGGAAACCCCACAAATACATGGGGGTTCAAGAACATGCTACTAAAGAATGAATGGGTCAACCAGGAAATTTAAAAAGAAATTTAAAAAGTATATATGGATACAAATTACAGTGAAAGCACAGTGGTCCAAAACTTTTGGGATGCAGCAAAAGCAATTCCAAGAGGAAATTATATGGCAATACAGGCCTAACTCAAGAGTCAAGAAAAATCTCAAATAAACAGCCAAATCTTACACCTAAAGGAACTAGAAAAAGAACAACAAATGAAACCTAAAGCCAGCAAAAGCAGGGAGATAAAGATTACAGGAGAAGTAAATGATATAGAAAAGCCCCCAAAAAGAGTAGAACACATCAGTGAAACTAGGAGCTGGTTCCCTGAAAAAATTAGTACAATTGATAAACCTTCAGCCAGACTTATCAAAAAGAAAAGAGAAAGTACCCAAATAAATAAAATCACACATGAGAGAAGAGCAATAAAAACCAACACCACAGAAATATAAACATCCAGAAGAGAATATTATGGGAGTGCCTGAGTGGCTCAGTCAGTTAAACGTCCAACACTTGATTTTGGCTCAGATCATGATCTCATGGTTCATGAGATAGAGCCCTACATCAGGTTGCGCACTGACAGTGTGAAGCCTGCTTGGGATTCTCTCTCTTCCTCTGCCCCTCCCCTGCTCATGAGCATGCACTTTCTCTGAAAATAAATAAACATTTAAAAATAAAATAAATCACATTTTTTAGAACAACAAAAAAGAAGACAGTATTACAAAATATTATATTCCAATAAATTGGACAATCTGGAAGATATGGATAAATTTTTAGAAACATATAAACACCCCAAACTGAAGCAGGCAGAAATAGAAAACTTGAACAGACTGATAACCAGCAAAGAATTTGAATCAGTTATAAAAAAAAGTCTCCCAACAAAAAATTCCAGGGCCAGATGGCTTCACGGGTGAATTTTAACAAACTTTTAAGGAAGAATTAACACCTATTCTTCTCAAACTGTTCCAAAAATAGAAATAGAAGGAAAACTTCCAAACTCATTCTATCAGGCCAGCATTATCTTGACACCAAACCCAGACAACGATTCCACTAAAAAGGAGAAATACAGGCCAATGTCCCTGATGAACGTGGATTCAAAAATTCTAAATAATGAAAGACAGATATCATATGTTTTCACTCATGTGGATCTTGAGAAACTTAACAGAAGACCATGGGGGAAGGGTAGGGGGAAAAATAGTTACAAACAGAGAGGGAGGGAGGCAAACCATGAGAGACTTTTAAATACGGAGAACAAACTGAGGGTTGATGGGTGTGGGGGGAAAGGGGAAAAATGGGTGATGGGCATCGAGGAGGGCACTTGTTGGGATGAGCACTGGGTGTTGTATGTGAGCCAATTTGGTAATAAATTATATTTAAAACAAAAACAAAAATTCTAAATAAAATAATAGCAAATTGAATCCAACAATACATTAAAAGAATCATTTACCACAATCAAGTGGGATTTATTCTGGGGCTGCAAGGGTGGTTCAATATTTGCAAATCAATGTGATATACAATATTAATAAAAGAAAGGATAAGAACCATCCGATCCTCTCAATAGATGCAAAAAAAGCATTTGACAAAGTACAACATCCATTCATAATAAAAACCCTCAACAAAGTAGGGTAAGAGGGAACATACGTCAACATTTTAAGGCCAAATATGAAAAACCCACAGCTAATATGAACCTCAATGGGGAAAAACTGAGAGCTTTTCCTCTATGATCAAGAATAAGACAGCAATGTCCTCTTTCACTGCTGTTCTTTAACATTGTACTGGAAATCCTAGCCTCAGCAATCAGGCAACAAAAAGAAATAATGGCCCCCATATTGGCAAGGAAGAAGACAAAGTTTCACTATTTGCAGGTGACATGATACTCTATAGAGAAAACCTGTAAGACACCAACAAAAAATTGCTAGAACTGACTTACAAATTCAGTAACATTGCAGGATACAAAATCAAAGTATAGAAATCTGTGGCATATCTAGACACCAATAATGAAGCAGGAGAAAGAGAAATTAAGAAATCAATTCCATTACCAATGCAACAAAAGCAATAAGATACTGAAGAATAAACCAACCAAAGAAGTGAAAGACCTGTACTCTGAAAACTATAAAACACTGATGAAGAAAACTGAAAGGACACAGAGAAATGGAAAGACATTCATGCTCATGGATCGGAAGAACAAATATTGTTAAAATGTCTATATTACCTATAGGAATCTACACATTTAGTGTAATCCATATGAAATTACCAACAGTATTTTTCACAGAGCTAGTACAAACAATCCTAAAATTTGTATGGAACCACAATAGCCACAGCAACCTTGAAAAGGAAAAGTAAAGATGGGGGCATCATGATTCTGGATTTCAGGTTATATTACAAAGCTGTAGTAATTAAAACAATATGGTAATAGAGCAAAAATAGACACATAGATCAATGGAACAGAATGGAAAATGCAGAACTGAGCCACAACTACGTGGTCCATTAATCTTTGGCAAAACAAGAAAGAATAGCCAATGGAAAAAAGACAGTCTCCTCAACAAATGGTGTTTGGGAAAACTGGACAGCAACATGCAACAGGATGAAACTGCACCGCCTTCTTTCACCATACAAAAAGATAAATTCAAAATGGATGAATGATCTAAACGTGGGACAGGAAACCATTAAATCCTAGAGGAGAATACAGGCAGTTACCTCTTTGACATAGGCCATAGCAATTTCTTTCTAGAAATGTTGCTGAGGCAAGGTAAAAAAAGCAAAAATATTGCATTGAGACTGCATCAAAAAACATGAAGAAATATTGGTATTGGAGAGCCATGAAGGCACTATCCAGAAAAGTGGAACAATTTGAAATATTTGTTAGTGTCAGTTCACCACCCCTTATGCTAGATACAAAGTGTAATTAGTTCAGCTCATTTCTTTGAGTGTCCCCTTTCTAAACCTTTCCATCAAACCACATGGAGACCCTCTCCTCCCACCCTCCCACTGTCATGTTGGCATTGGTGCTCCCCAGGTGTAAGGTATTTCTGCACCATGAATATGGCACTGAATAAAATTAATACCCCATGCAAAGGATCCCTTATCTGAGCATTAAAATGTATAGTCTCACTTTGCTCCGGCTTCTGTAACTCATCTCCCATATTCTTTATTTTTCCTAACTTCCAACTGAGAATATTACCATGGAGTCCAGGTTTGGCCTGGATTGAAAGCAAAGTGTGTTGATGGAGAGATGTTATAAAAACGATTTTGTCTATTAGTGGGAAGGTGGAACCCACATGAAACTCGGGAAAGTTTCTGTAATATTTGTCTTGACCTTGTAAGTTCAATACTTATGAGGGAAGATTCAAGCAGAACAAATTTCCATACAGCTACCATATACCCCAGGGTTGCCTGCAAATACATTTGGGAGTGTAGTCCACTTCTCTGTATTTCAATGGGAAGCCAAGGCCACGGAAAAATGGATCACTCCTGCCACTGCAGCTTAGCTGAGGTACCGAGGAGAGGAAGCAGTTTTTCAAGCCAATCGTTGCTATGGATACAGCTTCTCCACCCTAAGGCTCACATCTCTTCCTCTATGCCATCTAGAAAGAATCTGAGGATCCACTTCCCAGATACTTTCAAAGAGAGAGGGTCCTGCCAGGCTAGAGATTTTATAGAAATCACCAAGTATTCCTTTTCTTCCCCGAAGAGAAAGAAGTGTGTGCTTTCCTTTTCAAGGAGATTGTGGAACAAAATTAAGATATCTTTTAGATGAAAATATGCAATGAAAAGAATCATAACATTGGTAGAAGCATGAAGAATGATTGACCAAGAAAGGTGGACTTCACCAGTATCTTCCCAAAAGACTGATGAAAGCCAGGGTGTATGCTCTGGCATACACCACATGTAGAAAATTGTACTCTGGACTTGTACCTCAAATTAGCAGCAACATTCAGCTTGGGATTTTAGAAACCCTTGGGAAATTGTCATATAGTTTTCTTGAAAACTCTTGGCAGAGAACAGTGTGGACATCTGGGAATCAGTGTCACCATAAATAATGAGAAGATAAATAAGGGTTGCCCTAGTAACTTGTTCTCAACAGTGACCAATTAGCTGCCCCCAGGACACCAGCCGTGCCTTTACTTTCTGCCCCTGTGTCTTCATCATCTAGTAAAATTAGGGGGCTGCACTCTCTGCTCACTGGCTGGGTCCATCCTGTTTGGTGACCAGTCTTGTATAAAAAATATCAGAGAGCCTCAGACTTGCATGTCAGCAGATTCTCATTGTCAATGCAGTAAAACAAGGATGCTTCTCGAAATGGAAAGGTGAAGATATGATGGAGGAGCATGGTGGAGTACAAGGTATCTTGGAGCAGATGCACCAGTGACAGTGGAGCACTATGGCAGAAGGACCTTGTCTCAGGACCCAGGGATAAACCTATAAGAAGCCGGTGAATGAGGTAGACCACAATGTTGCATGTTAGGCGGACTTTTACCCACTTGGGAGAAGAACCCTAAGTCTGAGATTCCAGCTCTAGCCCAGAATTGGCGGTAGTGAAATGTGGTTGTTTTACTCCAGCTGCTCCTTTCTGGGGTTTCAGTGGTCAAGGCTGCCATGTAGCCTTGCTGTGGTACGAAACATTTTGGGCTATAGAAAGAGGGCTTTGTCAGCCAGACACTGGCAACATGGGATGCATATTCACCCTACTGTAGGACAACAGGCTATGATAAATGCATTTCCTCTCTCCTTTCCTCTCAGCCCACAGCAAGCTCTCCATTTCTTGGAAGATAATAGTTGCAAGAGGAGGAAGTCCTGCCTGCCATGAGGTGACTCCTATGTGTGACTGGCCTCAGGGACCGTGGTGATTTGTGGACTTACTGGGGACAACTGGAACAGAAGCAGAAGCTCCTTCAGGCTGGGGGTAAGCACTCTGGTTTCACAAGCAGCACTTTAGGGGATCTGGCCCACAATGGGTTAGTGAGAGTGACACATTCCACACTCCCAGTGTTTAGCCTATTTTTGAGATACTAGAGCCAAACACCATCTTAAGAAAAGTCATTGATTGAGAGGACTGAAGAGAGAAGAATGTTCACTGAGTTTCATGGAAGAGTCAGTGTATGTGTGCCAGGTTCCCAGAATATCCTCTTAAGTAGGTTAATCCTGTGACCTACTGTCAGTCCCACCGCCCTCACAGGCCAGCATGAACCCAAGGGGTGGGTGGTCAATTCTGGACTTACAGTTCATGTCCTGTTGTTGAGCAGCACCCAATGTCTCTGGTCTCTAGTTTCTTCTATAAAATTCTTGAGCTAAAGTAGATGCTCTCTAAGCCCTGTGTCATTCCACAGGCCAGTAACTCATCAGTGATTATAACTAAGGGTAGAAACAAGTAAGCTATGAAGCTAATCTTTCACTTAAGGTTAAGAAATCATCAACAATAAATTTACTCCCATTTTAAAATATTTTGTCACCGCATTTGGAAACAGCAGGTACTCTGGAGTCAGGTATTCTGGCTAAAGTCCCAGTTATGTGACCCAAGTTCTCTGGAACTCTCTAAGCCTCAGTTTCCGCTTCTATAAAATAAGGGGTTCATGGTTATTGTGAAGAGTCATAGAAATACTGAATTTCAATGACCCAACACAGAACAAGCATAGATCCTCAACAGATGATGATGATGACAGCTTGGACAACAGAATGTGTTGCATTATTAAAAGGGATATTCAAAGGGAATGTTACTAACATCACTCTTATGTTTACTTACAAACTGATAATATCATTAAAAACAATAAAATATATAACTACAAAAATGTCAATAACCCTGCCTACGGCTGATGCTATATTTAAGCATTATATTAAAGATCATAGCATTACAGTTAGACTTGAGGAGCAACAGGAAACATTAGCATCATATGTCAAGTGAGTTACACGCTTTAATTCTCACAAGAACATGAACAGGTAGATCTTATCAGTTTCATTTTGCTGAGGGTGAAAATGAAGTTCACAAGGTTAGCTAACTTTCCAAAGATGACCCATCTCAGGGGTTAGAACACACTGTTGAACTAGTATTGAATTCAGGTCCATCTGATTCAAGAACCAATTGACTAAACTACTTAGCCATCAGTCTAGCCACCTTCTTGGATAGGCAAATACCTTAAGCATGCTCCTCTAAAAGCTTGTGGTTGCTGATTTTGGGTTAAGACCAGCAGGGATGATGCTGTGGAAAGAGATGCCCATGGAAATGGGGAACGGGACCACCGTCCAAGAATTCACCTTGGAGGGGTTTCCTGCCATCCAACACCTGGGAAAGGTCCTCTTCCTGGTGCACCTGCTGGCCTACCTGGCATCCATTACAGGCAATGCTGTCATAGTCACCATCACCTGTGCTGACTCCCGGCTCCAGACACCTATGTACTTTTTCCTCAGCACTTTCTCCTTCTTTGAGTGTTGTTTCATAAGTGCTGTTATTCCTAAGTTGCTGGTCATCTTTCTTTTAGGCCGCCAAACCATTTCCTTTCTTGCCTGTTTCATACAAGCCTTTGTGTTTGTCTATCTGGGAGCAGCAGGTTTCCTCCTCATAGCAGTGATGTCTGTGGATCGGTACATGGCCATTTGCAAGCCTCTGCATTACCCAACCATCATGAACCTCAAGACTTGCTTCCTCTTGGTCACTGCCTGCTTCACTTTGGCCTTCATTCTCATCACTGGTCCACTAGTAATGGTTTCCCAGTTATCCTTCTGTGGCCCCCATGTCATTCCCCACTTCTTCTGTGACCTTGGTGCCCTGATTCATCTCTCCTGTTCTGATACAAGGTCTGTTGAAATGTTGGTCTTTGTCCTTGCTTTGTTGATCCTTTTGACATCCCTTATCATAACCGTCATCGCATACGGCAACATAGTAGTCACAATTGTGCGACTCCCATCAGCCAAGGAGCGACAGAAAGCTTTTTCCACCTGCTCGTCTCACCTCATTGTCCTCTCCATGATATACGGCAGCTGTGTCTTTATATACGTGAAACCAAAGCAAATGAACAAGCTGGACTCCAACAGGGAGGCTGCCCTTGTGAACACAGTGGTGACCCCGCTGTTGAATCCTGTCATCTACACTCTGCGGAACAAGCAGGTCCACCAGGCTCTGAGGGAGACAATGTGCAGAATGAAAATATCAAGATAAAAAAATTATATGGCCTTGGCATGGAAGTCTTCAGAGAATCATCGTCTTCATTCTCGCCAATGTGACATCCATAGGGTTGTAGTGCTGCGTCTCTGGCAGATGTCACTTCCCCTTTGTACATCCCTAGCAAAACAGAAATCTATTTTCTAGGCCACATTTTACTTGGATGTGCAAAACTATCTCTCCCTAAATATCCCACATATATGTTTTGAAAATGTTTATTTCTGTAATTTGAGAGAGAGAGATGGGGGGCAGGGAAGCTCAGAGAGAGAGAGAGGGAAGGAGAGAGAATCCTGACAGGGTCCAAACCCCACATGGAGGCCCAATGTGTGGCTGGATCCCATGACTGTGAGATCATGACCTGAGCCCAAATCAAGAGTCAGACACTTAACCAGCTGAACCACCCTACTGTCCCTAAATATTCCACATATTGATGACAATCGATTAATTGCAAGATCCTTTACTGAATTTTGATTCTTATCTCTGATATAAACCATGTGCTTGAAATTTCTAAAATGTAGTGGTTTATACTCTTTTTATTTCATTTCTATCTAGCCATGAACATGATTCAACAGAATTAATAAATATTTACCAAAGGCATTTAGATAGCTAAAATGATAGATGCTTGTATATTAGGTTGTGGTTATGAAGAAAATGACAGAAATAGTACCAATGCTTGGGTCTACATTCCCTTCATCCTTAGCCCAAGGAAATAATGGTCATAGCACCCATTACCTTGGAATATATATGGTTTGCATCAGGTGTGCTCTTAAATGCTGTCCTTGGCCTTTAGCTTAGCTACATACATAGGCATCATTCTCATGCTGGAGAGGAACAGAATTGTTCTCAGTCTTAGAACATTCTGTAAGGATAGGGAATAACCACAGCATGTCACAGCTGACCAATGCTGCTATTTGCCTAAATTATTTATTCATAATCAGCCCCTCAGATGCATGAATACTTATGATTTGTTCCTATATAAAAGCTGTTACCACAGAATGTTTGTGTCTTAGTATAAGGGAGCACATGTTTCATATTTCTGTAATTTCTTCCAAAGTCTAAGTTGGTGTAATCTAAGTTATTTGCCTATCTTCTTCACATTACTGATGAAAATAAACAAATTAAGCCTTTTTTCCCCCGGCTGACTTGTGTTGTCAATGATAAGGTTTTGTTCCGATTGATAACCTATTTTAAAACCAATATTTCCATCAACTCAATCTTTAAACTTTGTGTACCTTTAGCACTTATTTTCCAGCTAGAATGTGTCTCCTATTTCTTCAGAAGAACCATCTCTAAAAATATTAACAACACAAGAAACAACAGCCTTGGCAAGGATGTTACGAAAGTGGAACCCCCTTACAATGTTGGTAGGAAAGAAAACTGGTGCAGCCACTCTGGAAAACAGTATGGAAGTTCCTCAAAAAGTTAAAAATAGAACAATCCAGCAATTGCACTACTAAGTTTTTACCCCCACAATACAAAAATATTAATTTGAAAGGATACATGCACCTCAGTGTTTGTTGCAGCATTATGAGTAATAGCCAAGCCAAATTATGGGAAGAGCCCAAATGTCCATCAACTGATGAATGAATAAAGAAGAGGTGGCATGCATATATGTGGAATATTACTCTGCCATAAAGAGAATATAATTTTGCCATTTGCAATGACATGGATGGAGCTAGAGAGTATTATGCTAAGCATAGTAAATCAGTCACAAAGACAAATACCATATGATTTCACTCATATGTATATTTTAAGAAGCAAAACAAATGAGCATAGGACAAAAAAAAAAAAAAAAAAGACAAGAAACAGACTCTTAACTATAGAGAACAAACAGATGGTTACCAGAGGGGAGGTGGGTGGAGGGATGAGTTAAATAGGTGAAGGGAATTAAGAAGTGCCCTTGTCATGAGCACTGGGTGATGTATGTAAGTGTTGAATCATGAAATTGTACACCTGAAACTAGTATTACACTGTATATTAACTAACTGGAATAAAAATACAAACTTAAAAAATAAAAAGATTAAGGTAATTATTTTGTCTGCTTTTTATTATTATATTTTATTCTCAAGTTAGTTAACACACAGCATAGTCTTGGCTTCAGGAGTAGAACCCAGTGATTCATCACTTACATGTATCACCCAGTGCTCATCCCAACAAATGCCCTCCTTAATACCCATCACCCCATTTATCCCACATCTCCCAAACCCCCAAACCCATCGACCCTCAGTTCTCTGTATTTAAGAGTCTCTTATGGTTTGCCTCCTTCTCTGTTTTTATCTTATTTTTCCTTCCTTTCCCCTATGGTCATCTGCTAAGTTTCTCAAATTCCCCATATGAATGAAATCATATGATACATGTCTTTCTCTGACTTATTTCACTTAGCATAATACCCTCCAGTTCCATCCATGTTGTTGCAAATGACAAGATTTCATTCTTTTTGACTGCTGAGTAGTATTCCATTGAATACATATACAACATTTTCTTTTTTTTAATTATATTTCATTTTTTAATTTACATCCAAATTAGTTAGCATATAGTGCAACAGTGATTTCAGGAGTAGATTCCTTAATGCCCCTAACCCATTCCTTAATGCCCACAACCCCTCTAGTAACCCTCTGTTCTCCATATTTAAGAGTCTTTCATGTTTTGTCCCCCTTCCTGTTTTTATATTGTTTTTGCTTCTCGTCCCTTGTGTTCATCTGTTCTGTGTCTTAAAGTCCTCATATGAGTGAAGTTATATGATATTTGTCTTTCTCTAATTTCGTTAACCCTCTAGTTCCATCAACATAGTTGCAAATGGCAAGATTTCATTCTTTTTGATTGCCGAGTAATACTCCATTGTATATATATATACCACATCATCTGTATCCATTCATCCATCAATGGACATTTGGGCTCTTTCCATACCTTGGCTATTGTTGACAGTGCTGCTATAAACATGGGGGTGCAGGTGCCCCTTTGAAACAGCATACCTGTATTCCTTGGATAAATACCTAGTAGTGCAATTGCTGGGTTGTAGGGTAGTTCTATTTTTAATTTTTTGAGGAACCTCCATACTGTTTTCCACAGTAGATGCACCAGTTTGGATTCCCACCAGCAGTGCAAAAGAGATCCTTTCTCTCTGCATCCTTGCCAACATCTGTTGTTATCTGAGTTGTTAATGTTAGCCATTCTGACAGGTGTGAGGTGATATCTCATTGTGGTTGTGATTTGTGTTTCCCTGATGATGAGTGATATTGAGCATTTTTTCATATGTCAGTTTGCCATCTGGATGTCTTCTTTGGAGAAGTGTCTATTCATGTCTTTTGCCCATTTCTTCACTGGATTATTTGTTTTTTGGGTGTTGAGCTTAATAAATTCTTTAAAGATTTTGGATACTAACCCTTTATCTGATATGTCATTTGCAAATATCTTCTCCCATTCTGTCGTTTACCTTTTAGTTTTGCTGATTGTTTCCTTCACTGTGCAGAAGTTTTTATTTTGACGAGGTCCCAATAGTTCATTTTTGCTCTTGTTTCCCTTGCCTCCGGAGATGTGTTGAGTAAGAAAGTGCTGTGGCCAAGGTCACAGAGGTTTTTGCCTGCTTTCTCCTTGAGGATTTTGATGGCTTCCTGTCTTACATTTAGGTCTTTTATCCAT